GAAACCTGACATTGTAACGAAAAATAAAAATGAGAAGCCAGGCATGGTTGAACATGCCTATAACCCCAGCATTTGAGAGGCAGAAGTTAAAAAGCTTCTGCACAACAAAAGAAATAGTCTCTAAACTGAAGAGACCACCCACAAAGTGGGAGAAAATATTTGCTAGCTGTACATCAGACAAGGGACTAATAACAGGATATACAGAGAGCTCAAAAAACTAAACTCCCCAAAAATCAATGAACCCATAAAAAAGTAGGCAACAGAACTAAACAGAACTTTTTCAAAGAAAGACGTCCAAATGGCCAAAAAACATGAAAAAATGCTCACCATCCCTGGCCATAAAGGAAACGCAAATCAAAATCACACTAAGATTCCATCTCATCCCTGTTAGAATGGCTATCATCAAGAACACCACCACCAACAGGTGTTGGCGAGGATGTGGGGAAAAAGGAATCCTTGTACACTGCTGGTGGGAATGTAAGCTAGGTAGAACCTCTTTGGAAAACATTATGGAGACTTCTTAAAAAACTAAACATAGATCTGCCATATGATCCAGCAATACCACTCCTAGGAATATACCAAAAGGAATGTGACTCAAGTTATTACAAAAGCACCTGCACACCCACATTTATTGCAGCAATATTTACAATAGCCAAGTTATGGAAAAAGCCAAGATGCCCCACACCGATGATAGATTAAGAAAATGTGGTATTTATACACAATGGAATTTTACTCAGCCACAGAGAATGAAATTTTGTCATTCACAAGTAAATGGATAAAACTAGAGAACATCATTTTAAGTGAAATTAGCAGGCTCAGAAGGCCAAAAATCACGTTCTCCCTCATATGCAGATTACAGACCAAAAACAAATGCAGTAATATTATTGGACATGGGTCATACACTAAGGGGAGAATATGCATGGGAGAAACAGGGAAAGAAAAGGAAACCTAAAACTTAAATATAGATGATGTGCTCCCTTGTTGAGGAGCGAATAAAGTAATCTTAATTGGCAAAGGCCACTATGGGAAGAGGCCTGTTAGAGAGGAACCAATGTAGGTTGCAATATACAAGTGCATGGAAGCAACACTGGGAATCTCTCTGTATAGCTAGCTATCTTTATCTCAAACTAGCAAAAATGCTATGTCTTTCTTATTATTTCCTATGTTTTCTCTTCAACAAAATCAGAGAACAAGATGGCAGAATGGGTTCTGCCCGGAAGTGGGAAGAGGTATTGTGGAAAAAACAACGAATACACGTGTAAGTAAATGTAAAAACAGTAAAAGAGAAAAGAAGAAAAAAGAAATAAGGGTGAATAGTATAAAAATTCATAAATTATTATATGATGAAAATGAAACAGTGATAGGATACTCTTCAATTCCCAACCAAAATGAAGTAACTGACACTCCAGAAACTGGATCCCTAAAGACAAATATCACACAAAAGAAAGGGCTGTACTGTAACTACTTGAAATTTCCTTTAGTTCTATGACTCTAGATCATAATTTTAGGTGCTCATTCTTATTTGACCTCTGAACAAATAGGTAATAATGAGTATTATAAGTAGAGGATGGAATGGGTACAGAATAAGTGAGATCCCAGCCAGTAACATCTGAAATACAGTATTTTATTTAATTTTGAGGGTCATATTTGAAAAGGACACTGGAAACCAATAGCACTTAGAACAAATCAATCAAGGCATTAGGAATGTAAAAACCTAAAACAGAAAAATTAAAACGTAGAAAAAATAATTAAATAATTAAAAGTAAACTTAGAGGGTGTTTTATATATTATTTGAGAGGAGAAAACTAGGACCGCTAATAAATATTACAGGGAAAAAGGTTTTGACCAAATATATTTTTTAAAAGTTGCAATAACTTCAAGTTTCCTAAAAATGAAATAAACATTCTGAAAGATATATCCAATAATAGAAGTGTTCTAGCAGAGCAGAAATATATTTATATTTATATATGGTATAAAAGAATTCTTCTGAGAGAAAGGGTGGATAACATTTACATTTACATTTAAGTAAATTCGAATGTATGGAAAACTTCAATTGTATATAGAATACAGCAGAATACTATTTTACCCAGCTTTAACATTTATTCTGGCCAATCTTACTTTATTAATAGTTCCCCACTTCATCTCACCCTTATATTATTTTTGCAGTATATTACACATGTCAAATCATTTCCTCTTTAAATATTTCAATATGTTAGATCAACTTTTAAAAACCCTTGCAACCTCAAGATTCTGTTTGTATAGCTTCAAGATACAAGAAAACTGAGTTCACTAACACTCAGAAAATGAATTATGTTCACCATTTATTCAACCAGTTCTAAAAAAACTAATTAGTGCTTGAACAATTTCATTGTCTAGCTTTATATCGACATCTAGTGGATAAAAATTGCAACCAAAAGGTAAGGTTAAAAAACATCTGTGTCACAGAGTTGTATGGGCAAACGTTTACAAAGTTAAATCACATAACATTCCTCAGTGATTCATGTTTTTTTTAAGAAAAAAGAAAAACAAGATATAAATTTTTTAAATTTATAACATTTAAGGTTTTTATAACCTGACTTTTATCTAACCTCATTTTCTGATAATTTCCTTTATAAATTACCAAATAGAAAGGCTTCATCACTTGCTGTCCAAATACACCAAGCTCACTGCAGACTCTACCGCAGCTCCTCCCAAGTAAAAATCCCCTTGAATTTATCAATTCAACGTTCAATTCAGTTTACCAATTCAAAATGTATTGTTCAGCTAGGCACCAGAGGCTCAGGCTTGTAATCCTAGCTACTCAGGAGGCAGAGATAAGGAGGATCTCAGTTGGAAGCTAGCCTGGGCAAATAGTTCTCAAGAATCTATCTCAGAAAAAACCATCACAAAAAAGGGCTCATGGAGTGCTCAAGATGTAGGCCCTAATTCCATCTCTTCCAAGAATTTTTACCCTACTATTTCCTCAGCATTTTAAAATTTATGAATGCCCATGCATACCTTTATGGTCAAATACAGCAAATGTATCTATATTGTTAAATATATTATCTATTAGTTATAGATAACCTATTTTTTTAATATATATACACTTTTTTTTATTAGCTAATAGACTGGGAGTCTATTAGCTCTGTATACTACTCAAAAATATAAATCCATTTAGAGTCTTCTTTCACATTTTATTAGTATTCCCACAAGGTTTAACAAATATAGTGCATTCAAATATCTGCCGACTGATGTGTTCTGTCCATGCATTATACAGATGAGGTAAAATTCTCACTATAGTGGGACTGAATGCTCTAAGTACTATAAAGGCAAGGATTGGATCCGTATTAGTCAATATCCAATCCCTTACACTTTGTTCAATGCCTGGTTCAATATGTATATATATATTACATAAATTACTCATAATTCTTTTTCTTTTGAAGTAGGGTCTTGGCCAGGCTGGCCTTAAACTCACAATCCTCCTGCCTCAGCCTCCTAAGTACTGGGATTAAATGTGTGCACCACACCTGGCTCCTGTTCATAATCTTAAAAACAAAAATGGTTATAAAAATGATTACATACAAGGCCAAGAAAAAGTCAGTGTTGAGAAAAGTAAATTTAAAAACAAAATGTCAACATGACAACTTGTGCTTCTAAAGCTTTCTCTATTTATAGTTATAACCCAATTAGATTATGATCAAGCACTTTAATTTAGGGAATAATACAACTCCTATTTTCACACAGTCATCATTTTCCACATTTTTCTCTTCCTCTACTATCCTTAGGAATGTGAGGGGGCTTGTTTTTTGCTTTTTAGGAATGTGTTTTGAAATAAGTTGAAGAACAATTCCCAAAGCAGAGGTAAAGAGTATTTTAAAGCTTGTGATAACATTAAGAAGGAACTGACTGGATGTAGTCAAGTGATTTGAGAGGGTGAGTTCATTTCTAGTAGTTAATTTTTAAATATTAAGTATATAAAATCAGTTGCTAAATAAAAGTTACATTTTTCCAAAAATTCTGGATGTTACTTGATCTATAACTACAGATCCACTTACTGTGATAAGATTAAAAGAGAAAAATAAGAAATAGAGATAAAACATAAATAATAAATGAAATGCCCCTTAGCTATACTGAACCTCTTTGCAACAAAGGTTAAGAATCATTTCTGATATGAATAAAAGAAAAAAAAAGAATCATTTCTATCTATATGCTACAAATTGATAGTAACTTACTGAGAACATAATTTCAGTATAATTTGGAAAATCTATGTTTTTTTTTTTTACCTAAAGCTCTTTCTTTGGATGGTTCTAAAGTACATTACCAAAAACAAATAAATGAGCCAGGCATGGTGGTGCATATCTATAATCCTAGCTATTTGGGAAGTGGAAGCAGGAGGATCAATAGTTCCAGGCCAGCCTGAGCAAAAGTTAGTGAGACCCTATCTCAAAAACAAAATAAAAACAGAAAAAGTATGGGGTATAGCTCAAGTGGTAAAGGCACTTACCTAGCAAGTGCAAGGCCCTGGGTTCAATCCCCAGTACTGGGGAGAAAAGAAGGAAAGGAAAGGGAAGAGAAGGGAAGGCAAGGCAAGGCAAGGCAAGGCAAGGCAAAGGGAAAAGGAATGAGAGAGAGAGTGAGAAAGGGAATGAGAGAGAGAAAAAGAAAGAAAGGTAAATTAGAAAAAAATATATATTTAAGGTCAGACGTGATGGTGCACAACTGTAATCCCAGCACTTGGGAGACAGGGGCAGAAGAATCATAGGTTCAAGGCCAGCCTGTGCTACATGGTGAGTTTCAGACTAGGCTGGGCTACTAACAAAGACCCTGTCTCAAAAACATAAAATAAAACATTATCCCACAATTCCCCACCTTACAAACTTAAATAAAAGGGGGAATAAAAAGTGAAGTTGAATGTGATAACCCTTACCCTTATTTCATATCCTAGATACATCATATTTTCAGTTTACAGGATGGGGAGGGGGAAGGAAATCAGACATAAAATAAAATGAGTATGTACTTACAGCTTGGGCTTGTTGGAATAATTTATTCTGATTTTCTCCATCTTCTACTACATCTCCAACCATCTGGGAATGGGGTAACCTAAAACTTCCAATAGCAGCATTCAAATTACTTGGAAAAACGCTTGTCCTTTTAGGAGTTAAGTGTGCTCGATCTGAAGATTGCATGGCTACAGAGCCTTCTTTTTCTGCCTACACAAAGGCAAAAAGAGGGAGAATGAGATTCCACTCCAATCTGATACAATCAAATAATACCTCTAAGCAGACAAAATATTTTCATTTGGAACAAGGGTGGGGAGAGCAACTTACATTTACCAGGTACTTACTATGTGTTAATAATTTATTTAGGAGCTAGGGCATGGCTCAAGTGGTAAAGAGTCTGCCTACCAAGTGTGAGGCCCTGAGCTCAAACCCCAGTACCAAAAAAAAAAAATTAAATTTAAGTCATCTCATCTAATTCTTGAACAACCCTGTGAGATTTTATAAATAAGAAAGCTATAATCAGAAAAGTTTAACCCAAGGTCATATAACTAGTAAGTGGTAAAGTCAGAATTTAAACTCAAATCTAAATCCAAAATCCTGACATTATTATCAACTATTTGGTAAAAGCAAAAAAGTTTGTCAAAATATGGGAATAAAACATGGTTTTCTACATAGAAATCTACTGTGCTCACTAGAAAGTGGGATTACACAAAGCTTGGAATTGAAAAGTAATTTGGTTACTGCCTAATAGCTTATCTCATATAACATACACTTTTTATTCAGTCTTTACTAAGGCTCACTGTTGAACTTACTGCTTCATAAGACTTCAGAAGCTGCTGCTTTTTTCTCAATCGAATTTGTTGATTTACCCGGTATTTGACTTGTTTTTGAAAATGTTTCAAAGCTTCTTGCTTTTTTCTTTGTTGTTCTTTTAGTTCTTCCTCAATCATACATGCTGAAGTCTTTAAAGGTGAAAGATAAAAAATGAACTTAAATGGAAAGTTTTGCCTGTTATGGCTGCTGTAAACACAAAGAAGTCAGTGTATAATGCTGAAAAAAATAATTCAATTCTATATCCAACATTCCCAGAGGGTAAGGAAATCATAGTAGTTCAGAACCAATGAGATGAGATATGGCTAGTAACCAAGAATTTAAACCAAATCATACACTAAAAATTATGAATATTCATATCAAATCTTAATTTTTTAAACTGAAACAAAAGGTATTGTTACTAATTCTTAATGAATCAACTTAAATCCACTTCTATTACACATTTTTTAAAATCAGTAAATAGCACAGATATACCACATTACTCACCACTTACCAGATTATGTCCTACTGTAAAATGCCCTCATACTTATAATTACACTCCATTTTTAACCCAGCATACCCTTCTTCATATCTCCATCTAAAAAAGGCCTACTCAGTCTTCAAAACCATTCAATATTCACTCCCAGTACCTCCCATAGCATTGACTTCCTCAGAGCTCTTATGATATGGTACCTTTCACGTTACTAATGTTACTATACAGTACTTATTAACACCACCACTAGATTATGAACTCTTTGAAGGCAAGAAATGTATTTAATACTTCTTTCTGTCCCCTATAGCAATACAGTATCAAGTCTTGACCATCAAGGTACTCAGTATTTATACAGTTCCTCAATTACACAATATATTCTAAATAATCTAGAACACTTTTCATATTTGAGTCCCTGGTCTGCATTCAGTTCCACTAAGAGCTCTGAATAACAACCACAGTAATTAAAATAATAGTAGTTAGCAATATTAAGGATCTATTATGTGAGAAGCACTTTCTATCACTCTATCATGAAAACTATCTTCAGTAGTAAAGTAATCCCATATATTACAGATGAGGAAAATTGAATTCAGAAAGATTAAGTAACCTTCTTTGGTAGTTCAAGATTCTATAGCTAGCAACTAAGAAAGCTGTGTCTCTTACTCCAACACTTACGTTCTATCTTGTACTCCTTTTCTCTTGACTGTATGACTTTCCTTCATAAGGAATTTTCAAATTAAAGAAAATCATCATCATATTGTCTTCCCATTGCTTCTTTTAACAGTGATTCCAACTTCTAAATCTGAAGTGTCTCTGATTAGCTTATAGGCTGTCATTAAATTCTCAAAATCAAATGAATTTTAAATTTTCCAAGAAATCTATCCTATAAACTATTCTCTAAGAGTATGGTCCATAAGAGTGACACATTCAATACAAATAGCAAAGAACAATTAGGTCAAGTAATTCCAAAGGAGAGATATACACAATAAAGCCTGAACAACTGACCCAGATTAACTCAAGCCCCAGACAAATTTAACCATTCAAACTTTTACTTCCATTTTGTTCATCTTCCCCTTTTACCCCCACACTAAGATTATCAAACATCTTATCGAGGTACAGGGTTAATTACAGATTATGAATGTCAATTATAAACCAAAGATAAGAATATACCAGCATTAAGAAACACAGATTTCTTAGCAAATTATGCCCCAGTTACTCAAGTGATGGAGACAGGAAGATTGCGGTTCAAGGTCAGCCTGGGCAAAAAACTTAGCATGACCCTTTCTCAAAAAATAAGCAGGTGTGGTGGCATAAGCCTGTGGTCTCAGCTACTCAGGAGGCAGAGGTAGGAGAATCACAGTCTGAGGCTGACCCTGGGCAAAATACGAAACCCTAACTGAAAAACAAACTAAAGCAAAAAAGAGTTGGGGGCTTGCTGGGGAGGTGGCTCAAGTAGTAGAGCCTGGAAAGCAAGAGATCCTGAGTTCAAATCTCAGCACCACCAAAAAAAAAAACCTATCTATAATTGTGCAAGAACATTTGCTTTGCAGGATGGGCAGGATGTTAAGAAGTTCTCAGCGAGAGTCAAACAAATTTGAGAAACACTGAGTTAAACAAAGTTAAATATTGTTTTGATTGTACAACTAACTCCAGTACCATACAGAATATCTAAGGAGAAGTGTTTGTAATAATCAAAGAACACATTTTGGATAACTCATGTATGATGAAATTGAGGCTTAGATCATATAGTAATTAGTCTCCAAAGATGATCACTCCTCCCAACTGAATAAATCAGGTTTCATGGTATACATGCCATTGCTTAGTATACTCCTACACTGAATTTGATCTAGCTCTGCATAACCAAGAGAATGAGGCAAAAGTGTTGGCTCTGTGACTTCCCAAGCAAGGTCATAAAGTTCTTGGAATGCTCACTCTGGGGAAGCCAGTGCCATAGAAGAATTCTGATTAGTCTGACTACCATGCTGTGAGAAAGCACAAGCTAGCCAAATATGCCATGTAGAATGGGAAAGACATCCAACAAGTCCCCAGCCATCCTAGTCCCCCTAGCCCAAGTGACAGGTATGTGAGAAGCCATCTTAGACATTGCTACCTATCAACTGCCACATAACAACAAAGAACCAAGGAATTCAACCAACAGCCAGAACCCAATCAAGCTGTCCCAGTCATGTCCAGCTATTTAAGCCACCCTAGCTGAGGCCTCAGACATTGTGTAGCAGAGACAAGCCATCCCTGCTCAAATTCCTGACACACAGTATTATTTGCTTTCTGGGGTGGTTCATTATACAGCAAAAGACAACCAGAACAAAATAAGAAGAAAAAGAAAGCAATAACCATATATGGTAGTAAGACAGCATTGTCTTTTGATGCTAGTTTTATTACTGTGGAAGAGCAAGGCTCTATGACACTTTTAGGAATCCTGATGGCCCCTTGAAATTTTGGGGAGAAAAATGAAAGAAGCTGCACTTTTGAACAGACATGATCTTAAAGTAACCAAATTTTAGAAGTAACTATTTACATCTACTCTGAGCTGACAGTTAATAAGGGCAGATTACCAGACAAAATATGTTAAAGCAAGAGAGTTCTACTAGAAAACTCCCTATGAATGGAACTGATTAGCATAATTTAAAAGAGTAGCCAGGTTCGGTGACTCATACCTGCAATCCTAGCTATTGGGGAGGCAGAGATCAGGAGGATCTCAGTTTGAAGCCAACCTGGGGCAAATAGTTCCCAAGACCCTATCTCAAAAATACTCAACACAAAAAAGGGCTAGCAGAGTGGCTCAACTGTAGAGCATCTGCCTAGAAAATGTGAGGCTCTGAGTCCAAATCCCAGTACTAACAAAAAAAACCCTGAAGCAATTAATCTATCAAAACACTATTTGGTCATGAAATTCATCTGTAAATATTAAACAATGAATAGGGCTGGAGGAGTGGCCCAAATGGTAGAGCACCTACGTAGCAAGCATAAGGCCCCAAGTTCAAACCCCAGTACCACCAAAAAAAAGAATAAATACCTTCTCCAAAACTTTCTAGTTCCCCACATCTATTTTCCATAATCCTGTCAACCACCATCCTCTAATAAACTATTCACTACACCCAATCTATTCTACCCTAGAATCTTGAATACCTGACTTACTTCCTATGTCCCCATTGCCCTTAATAGGAGATTCGTTCCCTTCCCTTCTCTGATTATCCAACTTTCTTGGGTCATACCAACCCAAAGTCCTATCTTTCTTCTTCGATTAAGCATCATATTATTAGCACTTATTTATATATTAGTCCTTTCTGAAAACAGGCAGGGTAGGAATAAATCAGTAACTATGTACATGTATACATATGAAATAAACAAAATGAATATACTACATTGCATTGTTATTTAACATTTACTTGAAACATATCTCATTTCTCCTACACTAAGGGAACATACCTCCTACTTTTCCACACTTGCCTATACATACAGAAGACCAACACACACTTTGTGCATCCCATAAATATTTACTGTGTGTCTACATTAGACAATATTTAAGATGTGGTGATAAACAATGTTTGTTCCCTATGCACAAGGAGCTCACACCCCGTCAGGAAAGTAGATATACAACAACTTATAACACAATGTAAGTGCCACAATACAACTAAGGGGAAGTTTGGTGAAACTACCAAAAACCTTCTTACAAAAACTGTCCTCATGTGTTAAATGGTATATGAGAATCATCTTGAAAACATGTACACATTTTAACTTTGAAAAAGTATCCTTTCATCTGAAATGTTCCCTACCATATGTATCTACTGCATTTCCAGTCTTTCACGGCCAACGGACCATATTTCTACATTCATTCATTCAACAAATACTTTCTAAAGACTTACTATATGCCAGAGCAGGAATGAACAAAAAGTAGAGGTGTCTGTCCTCACAGAATTTATATTTAAACTCTCTCAGTCCCCCATTGGAATTAATCTCCTTCTCTTTTTTTCTTAATCCATTTTGTCTGAATTTCCATCCCAAAACTTATCATAAACTTTAAGGAGCTAATTAATATTACTTGAAATGTGACCAACGGTCATCCCTACTAAATGCAGAGTATCTGGAAGATGTAGACAGTACCTAAGTCTTGTGCAGAGCAAGCAATCAAAATTTTGTGAACTGAACTGATATATATCCTATCCCATGCATTATGATGTATATGGCAGGTAGTAACTAAATAATATTTGATTATGCCAACTAAAAATGTAGCAAGTTTTACCAAATACATGCTTCTTCTATAATCCTAACAGAACGTTATTTATAACAGTATAGAAATACCATCTTCCAACTGCTTACCTTTAAGCGCCCAAAATTAGAGAGGGCTAATAAAAGAAGGGGGGAGGGGAAGACCACTACATGTGGATCCAACTGACACTCACATGTGCTGTGATTTCCGAACTATTTGGTGAGGCAGGTTCCACCCATGCCCCAACTGGTATTACAGCCTGGTTCCTCTCAGCCAGCACTGCCAACACGTCCTTGCTCTTCGTGGGGTTTAAAGCCAGGGGCAACTTTGTGGTATTTCGAGGCTTCTTGACGAGGGCCATACGTCCTGGCATGTGTGACTAGGAGAAAGGAAAAGCTTAAAGTTCTCAAGCGACCTCTTTAAGGGCTCGAACGTCGTAACACAGGAGTCACGGGCCTCTGAAAAGGACAGAAATGCTCGAGGAGGCAGAAAGAAGCCTAGCAGGAAGTAGGAAAACAAGGATTCTAGAGAAACAAAGAGAGAGAAAAGTGATAAGACGAAAAGAGGTTTTCTAACCGCCTTCGGGAAGAAATGGAGATAAGGAGAAAGAGAAACAACGACGGGTTGGGGAGAACGAAAATTGCGCCCAAGGGTGAGCACGGGGGCGGGGAGATGGAAGCAGAACCTGGGTCTGAGGCAGAGAGTCCCAATACAGTACGTAGAGCCCAACCGCCGAGAGCCCCCGGCCAGATAAAAGCCTGCTTCTGAGCACCCCGCAGCTCGACACAGACTCAAACTACGTGGGGTGCTAAGGTTACCATCTCAAGTAAACCGCCACTTTTGGGTGGGACCGTGGGACACCCGCCCCGCCCCTCCGTAGCCCTTGTGCCCACCCCTTCCGGGCCTCGCGTCCCCTCCCGGGGCCTGGAAGAAGGGAGGGGAGGGGTTTCAGGGGCTGGTGGCTCCGTCATTTCCGCTTCCTGACCTGTTGAGGGGGCGGGAGTTGGTGGGCGTGCGGGGGTCACTGGGTAATTGCTGGCTGGGGCGTGGCCAGCCAGCGGTGCCTCGACTCGCTTTGTGATGGTCCCAAATCCCTCAGGAAAAGGGATTCGAGAAACTGAGATCCCACCGACTGCGCGGGCGAGGTTCCCATTTGAGGATAGCGCGGGAAGAGCACAGAAGGGGCGGGCAGCGCTTCCTCAACAAACAGATGTAACAGTATATCCTGCTAATCCTTTTTACAGCTCGTTACGTTTACAAGACAATTTAATTCATATTCTTGTATTTGAACATCGTAGCCTCTTGAGTGGTCACCCGTAATGCTCCTAACTCTGCTGTAATCCAGGAACACTTCATTAGCCTTGTAGGATGCCCATGCATTCATTTCTGGCATACATTATTGCAAGTGTTTTTATCTACCAGTACTTTTTTTTTTTTTTTAAGATACTGGGAATTGAATACAGGGCTGTGTACTTACTAAACCAGTGTTACACCATTTAAGCTACGCCCTCAGCCCTTTTGTTTTTACATTGTTTTTAAGATAGGATATTGCTACTTTTGCCCAGGCTGGCCTTAAATTCTCAATCTTCCTGCCTCTGCCGTCAGAGTAGCTGCATTACAGACGGACATGTGCGACCACAGCTGACTCCCATACCAGTACTTTTCTAGGCGCTGGAGATACAAAGTAGTGAACAAAACAAATATCCCTTGTTTGGGGAATTTACCATAGAATAAAGGGAAAAAGCGAATAAACACATGATGTCTGATGCTAATGAATGCTCTGACGTAAAAGAATAGAAAAAAGAGACTAGGGAACGTATGTGGGGCTTAAATACTAAATAAGACGTCTCTGAACACACACACCACAACCCATACCCCCACCTTCCACAGATCCTGAAAGGTTTGCCCCCAATTCTGTGTGTGTGTGTGTGTGTGTGTGTGTGTGTGTGTGTCTAGGCTTTACTATGGTACTTTTGAGCAAAGAAATGAGAAGATTAAACAAGCCACTGTAATCTTCAAGGAAGGGTTTTGTTTTGTTTTGTTTTTAAAATAAGTGCTCCAGGCAGAGAACAAGTACAAATGCCCCAACGTGGGAGCATTTCCTGGTTGAGAAGAAGCAGAGTCTACTATAAATGAAAGAATGAGAGGTGACAAGCTGAGACAGAACTTCAAATTTTGGGACATGAGCAATCATATACAGTATGGTAAGCCTCATAATGTGCTGAGATAGGGAGCCATTAGAGGACTTAGAACAAAGGAATGCCATAATGTGACTTGAATTAATAAAAAATGTTCTGGTCAGGTGTGGTAGTGTGTGTCTATGGTCCCAGCACTGTAGGAGGTGGAGGCAGAGGCAGGAGGATCCAATTTTGAGGCCAGCCTGGGATACATAGCAAATTCCAGACCAACCTGAGCTATGTAACAAGACTGTGTCTCAAACACAAAAACAAAAAAAATCACTCTGGATGTAGTATTGAGAATACACAGAAGAGGTGAGGGTAAAAAAAAGACCCACTAGGAAGCTATTGCAGTAATCCAGTTAGGAGATTATAATGTCTTTGATCAGGGACGTAGTGGTGGAAATGGTGAGAAATGGCTGAATTCTGAACATATTTGGGAGGCAAGAATTTCAGGATCTGTAGAAGGTGTGGATATGGATTGTGCTGTGTATGTGAGTGAGCGGGGAGGAAGAGAAAGTAGGGGAGAAAGAAGGAAAAAATCTTAGGGGTTTCCTCTTGAGTAGCCAACAGGTGGGATTACTGAGATGATGGAGATAGTGAAGGAACAGGATTGGGAAGGGGAAGATCAGGAGTTCATTCAGTTTGGAACAGATTAAGTTTTATTTAATCAACATACAAGAAAGCAGTATGATAAAAGAGTCTAGAGGAGAGATCTGGTCTAAAAATATAAATCTGAGCATAATATTGGCCTATAAATTCAAACCAGTAAGGTTGGATGATCTAATATGGTCAAATAAGAAAATCAATCCTAAGACTAAGATCCATAATATTCTGACATTAAAGAGGCTAAGAAGAAGAAAATGTAAAGAGATTAGTAAGGATCAGTCAGGAAGTTAAGGAAGAAAACCAAGACTATGTGATAGATTGAAAGCCAAGTGAAAAAAATTCATTAAAGAAAACAGACCATCTGTGTTAAATACTGCTGAGAGATCAAATAATATAAAGACTGATAATTGACTATTGGATTTAGCAATGTGGAGGTCATTGAGAACATTAAAAAGAGCAATGTCTTTGGAGCAGTTGTCAAAAGTCCAAAGGGAGAAATTTAACAGGGAATAGGAGAAGGAATTGGAGATAGCAATTTTATTCAACTCTTCAATGAGTTTAATTTTTAAAGAGACACAGAGAAATATGTGACTGAAAGGAGATGTAGAGTTAGAGGAGGGTTCTTTAAGATCACAGCCTATGTCTTCTTTTGATGAAAATTATATGTAGACAAGAGAAAACTAATAATACAGGGAATAGATGGGAGAGTTTCAGGATCGGTGTCCTTAAATGCAAGAGGGAATGAGTTATAGTGAGCAAGTGGAGGCTTTGGCCATAAAAGTAGGAAGAGTAGTTAATTATGACAATGGTGATAATTGTATAATGTGGTGGTAGAGCTTGTGGAGGTCCTGTTCTTACTTCTCTGTTTTCTATGTAAAATACTATTGTAACTAGCCTCCAATTTGACCCCTAATGATCACTACCTGGTTTTCACATCTTTTTGTAGTCCCCTCCCACATTGTGCCCAGATTGGTCTCTATGTGTATTACTGCAGAGGTTAGATTATAAAGACACTGTGTCCTCTCCCTCCCGCACTTGATTTTGCTCTCACTCTTACTCTCCATCAGGCCATTTACTCTGAAGGAAACCATATATGTCATGAGCGGTCCTATAAAGAGGCCCATGTGGACTGGAAGTAGATGATCCAGCTCTAATCAAATCTTCAGGCACTGAACTCTCAGCCAACAAGTTAACAGCAACCTCATAAAAGACCCTTGGCCAGGCTATCCAGCCAGAAACTGTATGAACTAATGTTTGTTGTTTTACAAGTTAATTTTGGGGGTAATTTGTTACACAGCAAGACATAACTAATACAAGTAAGAAGCAAAGTCACCAGTTAATAAAATAAAGGGAGAGATGTTGGAGGTTTGAGTAAGGAATTTAGGTATAAAATGGTTTTCCAGAAAAGAGGAAACAGACTAGAAACATGTATGACTGCTGGATGAACTTAAAGACTCATATAAAGTTCATGATCTTGAACTTGCTTATTTTTTGGTGGTACTGGAGTTTGAGGTCAGGACCTTTTGCTTGCTAGGCAAGCACTCTACCACTTAACCAACACTTCCAGCATTTTTTGCTTTAGTTATTTTTCAAATAAGTTCTCCTACTTTTTGCCTGGTCTGGCTTCAGACCATGATCCTCCGAGCTATGCCTCCTGCATAGCTGGGATTTACAGGCAACATTCCAGCACTTTTTGCTTTAGTTATTTTTCAAATAGGGCTTTGTACTTTTCATCAGAGCTGGCTTCAGACCATTATCCTCCTAGCCATGCCTTCTTCATAGTTGGGTTTACAGGCACATACCAACATACCCAGGTTGTTCTTTGAGATAATGTTTTGCCTGTGCTGGCCTTGAGCTGTGTTTCTCCAATCTCCACCTCCCAAGTAGATAAGATTATAGATGTGAGCCTCCATACCTGGTCTATGATCATGAATTTAAAGTGAGATCTGTCTATGTAATTGTTTTTCTTCAATTGCCTGGTTATAGTCCTGAAATAGAAAAATTGAACTTTAGCCAGGGTTGAGGTTTTACAAAAAATGTTATCGAGCAAGAAAAGGGCAAGAAATTAAAGATTAATTCAAAGAAGTAAGTGGATGTTTTACAAAGACATTTAAAGTATATGTATTAATCTTTTTTACATTGCTATGACAAAACACCTGAGACTGTATACTTAAAAAAAAAGCAGGCTTATTTAGCTCATAGTTTTGGAGACTGAAGGTCCAAACCACATGGCACTGGCTCTAGCTACACTACATTATAATTAAATAACATCATGATAGGAGCGTGTATAGAATAGATCACATGGTGAGAAGGAAAGCCAAAGAGCAGGGAGGGGTCAGACTTATTCTTTCATAATAAACCACTGTCTTAGGAACTACCTTTATCTTTTCCAAGGGCAGTAGCCCCAGTGACATAACCAACTCCCCATAAGCCCTGCTTCTTAAAGATTCCACCACCTCTTAACATCACCACACCAGGGACCAAGCTTCCAACACATGAACTCTTGAGGGCACAAACCACATCCAAGCCATAGCAGTAGTTAATGAGAAAAGGGGAGACAAGTAGAAAGTAAGATAGTAAAAAGTTGGTAGGATCAAAAGACTGTAGGTTCAGGCCATAGCAATAAAAGCAGCATAAAAGCAGACATGAAACCAATAGAACAAAAGACCCAGATATGATTCCATGTAGCTATGCCACCTAATTTTTGACAAAGGGGCCTAAAACATTTGATGGAAAAAAAGACAGCCTCTTTAACAAATGTTACTGAGAAAAATGGACATCTGAAACTAGATTCATGTCTTTTACCCTGTACAAATATCACCTCAAAGTTGACTAAGAACCTTATATAAAACCGGAAACTTTCAAGCTAGTGCAGGAAAGAATAGGGGATACACTGGAACTTATAAGCATAGCCAATAACTTCCTAAATAGAACCCCAATGGCTCAGCAACTAAGAGAAAGGATTAACAAATGGGACCACATGAAACTAAAAAGCTT